AAAACCTTTTAAAGAAAACAACCTAAAACGCCATTCAAATACAACTTTCTGGATTCTCTTTGAAATGGGCGGGGGCTTTTTTAGCCTCTCGACATTCGTTTGCTGCATTGGCTGTCAATCAACTGTAAAAATTGACGTCCATGATCACGTCACAACACGTGACTTTCAATATATCAACACACGAACGCCATTATAATTAAGGGCAGATACGGAAATTCAGAGGTAAGTTCATAAGGAAGTCCTGGCAAACGCAATTTTTAACGAGTGTTAAGCTTTAGACGTGTTCGTTTATACAGTCGGCTTGGCTTTTGAGCTGGTTTAAGTGTCCTGGCTAACAAAAAAAGGCCTAGACAGCTGGCAGAGGGCTGGATTATTACTTCCACTGACTCCTGGGACACTGGAGTCCAGAGGTTCTGGCTTTCCGGGTCACTGCTGCTTGTGTTAAGTCTGATTTAGTTAATGAAAAGCCATCGTACTTGAGAAATGCTGTTTGTTTCAGTTGTTTGTGCTCTGTCTGAAACCCGAGAGCCGTGCTGAGCTAATGCAATCCACTGACACATCAGCGATTTGAGTGGATCAGGTGGGCTCTCACGAACATACATAATGCTAACCAAACGACGGACAGGCCTTAATGCTAGTCAATTTAGTCTGGAAACTGGAAGGAAAAGGGTAAGGGAGGAAAAGTATTACAGGTTAAGGAAGGGAAAAGTTTGTTCAGAAATTAAAAGAAGAGGAATTGCGTCTTCTCTTTCTGTGTTGTTTAGTTGGGCGTCCAAGCCAATGTTAACAAAATGTTCTTTCTCTAGTTGCATAATCTGCCCAAAACCTTATTGCTTGTGATGCAAGTATGTGTAACATTGCTCCAAGTTTGAGGCTCATCCGTTTAGACCTTTAGATTGTTAAGCACTGTCTTCCTGTTAATTTTATTTGGTTCTGTTCACTATATTTTGACCTCTTTTTTTATGTCGGGTTCAGAACGAATGTCATAGCGGTCATGTGGACTCGCTGGACTATCTGGAGCAGCATTCAACATTCACACAACACAATAGATTGGCGACAGAGGATTTCACAATGCACAACATTAGACAGAATCACAGAGTGGGGCACATGTGCTAGACTGAAGCACAAGACTGGGATTCTTATTCAAATGTGAGCGTGAAAGTTTTTATTTAATCTTTTGGGTCCTAATAGATCCGAAAAGAAGCCCAATTGGAACCAAAATTACTGCCTATATTGCTGTCTATGCCTTTGTAAATCCTCCACAACATCACGTTGCCCTGAATGTGGCTCTCTCATTGGCTGCAGGTGATCACAGCCATTATTTCAGTCAGAACACATTTCAGTGCACGACTTCGACTCACCAACAGCTACAGATATTTAGCATGTGGGATATCTCACGACCAACCTTCGTCTTTCACAGAGCGAGAACCATTACCTTCTGGAGGTTTTCCCTGTGAGGCAGCTGTGGCAGCGAAAGGCTGTTCCATTCCTCCTGGCGAGGGTCTTGCTGGCTTGAGTCAGTTTGAGCAACCCTGTTATGTGCGTTTGTGTGCGGTCATGAGAACCTCCCTAGCCTAACCCTCCCTGGTGTCGTCCTTGAGTCTGATTCATTTAATATTGTGCAAGCTGGTTCTGAATCATTCTTGCTGTTTTGTTTTTGTTTAGACTTCACAGAGATTTTGTTCATGTTGAATCCCGATTTTTCTAGCTCCTCAGTTGCTAGAATACTCTGGACCTGGCACCATTTTTGCGGAGCAGACAGAAGATATCCTAAAGAGGGATTTGTCTTCCGGCAACATTCTCTAATTTGAGTATTTCCTGAATTTTTCCGATTATGCAAAAGTTCTTTAGTTGTTTCTGTTGGACTCAGCATTCAAACCCTCACTGACCTTCTGTACTGTCGAGCACCAAGAATTTTCCCTGCCCTGACTGCACCACCTGTTCGTCTTGCTATCTGCCTGTTTTTCCATGCCTCGTTTTTTTTTTCTCATGCTATTTGTGTCTTTGTTGCTTCCCCCTGCTCTGCTTTGGCATAGGGTCTTGCTCTGTGCTGGTCAGAGAGAGATGTAGCCCCTTTTCTGATCTGTTTGGAATCTATGTGCTTTTGCCCCAGTATTGGGTTATAGATTTCTTTAAGCCACACCCCTTCTTGTCTTTTTCCTGCTCTGTCCTTTTTTCATGTAGGTTGTCTGGTAGCCACCCCTTAAGGAGGGAACTATGTTAAGTACTGCCTTCCTATTCCTTTTATTTTGTCCTGTTTCCTATATTTGGTATATTTTGAGATGTCTCGCAGTCTGTCTCATTTTATCTTGTGTATTTAGTCTTGTCTTTCCTTTCTCTGGGTGCGGGTTCATTGTTAATCTTGACTGCTGCTGTATAGTGGATACTTTGCTGCTGATCATTTCATTATTTGTCCACATGTAGCTGGTTATTTTGAAATAGGACACATGTGGATGTCTGTTTTTTTTTTTTTGTTTGTTTGTTTATAATACACCGTGTAGTAAAGCTGGGCAATATGGCCCCTCCAAAAAATGTTTGTAAGCACTATAACTTTAGGAAAAGTATTAATAAATGATACATATTATTGGTCTAATTGTTATTTTATTTGAAATTAATTGAAACACAAAATACAATGTGTACCTTTGTTATAAATATAATGAATGGATGGGTGTCACTTAAAGCCGTCCTAGATGACACTGCAGACCAGTTGCACAAATATCTTTCGTCAACTCTCTTTAAATCAGTTTATTCATTAATTTCATGATTAACATTTAAACATAGATGGAACATATATGTTTTATTTGAAGGTCTTTTACAATACTTTATTTGTAGTTTCGTGGCAAACGTACATTCAATGTTCGTGAAGGCTAACTTCATGTAACTAGGGTTCGAAATTAACACCCGCCAAACTGCCATTGGTGGGTATTGATAAAAACTTACACGCCAGTTTGGCCGACGTTGCATGAGGCAATCATGTTAGCGCTGATGCGCTGGAAAGAAAAACAGCCGAGAGGAATCCTTATTGATTGAGAAATGACAAGCATCCCAAGATTTAGATTAATGTTTTTGGGTCAGGGCGAGGTGCCACAAGTGTGTGAAAAAGCGCACAATCTGAGCGCATGCTTTAATTTCGATAGAGCAGAGACAAATTACCAGCAGCTGTAGAAAGAGAGATCAAGAATGTTACAATTATTTCAAATAAAATTACTAGCTAGTTTTTCCAAAAGTTCTTTTTCCTTCTTCTACTTTCGGCTGTTCCCAGTTTAGGGGTTGCCACAGCGAATCATCTGTTTACACCTAACTCTGTCCTCAGTATCCTCTACTCTTGCACCAACTAACTTCATGTCCTCTTTCAGGACATCCATATATCTCGTCTTTGGTCTTCCTCTTGACCTCTTGCCTGGCATCTCCATTTCCAACATCCTTCTACCAATATAACCACTATCCCTCCTCTGCACATGCCCAAACCATCTCAATCTGGCCTCTCTGACTTTGTATCCAAAACAACCAACCTGAGCTGTCCCTTTGAAGTGCTCATTCCTAATCTCCATCTTCGTCACTCCTAAACTGAACCTCAACATCTTCATCTCTGCTACTTCCATCTCTGCCTCTTTGTCTCTTCCTCACTGCTACAGTCTCCAACCCATACATCATAGCTGGTCTCACTACTGTTCTGTACCCCAAATACCTAAACTCCAGCACCTTTTTTACCTCAGCCCCCCGTAACCTCACTGTTCTACTTCCCTCTCTCTCGTTCAAACATATGTTTTGTGTCTGCAACTTGCTTTCATTCCTCTTCTTTCAAGAGCTGACCTCCAACTTTCCAGGTGTTACCCACCTGCTCTGTGCTCTCACTACAGATCACAATGTCATCTGCAAACATCATTGTCCATGGAGATTCCTGCCTGACCTCATCTGTCAACCTGTCCATCACCATAGCAAAAAGAAGGGACTCAAAGCTGATCCTTGATGTAGCCCCACCTCCACCTTGAACTCCTTTTTCTGACCTACAGAACATCTCACTGCTGTCTTACTCCTCTCATACATATCCTGAACTACACTGACGTACTTCTCTGCCACTCCTGACATTCTCATACAGGACCTTAGCTCCTCTCTTGGCACTCTTATGCTTTTTCTAAATCCACAAAGACGCAGGGCAGCTCCTTCTGACCATCTCTGTACTTCTCCATTAACAATCTCAGAGCAAAAATTGCAAAATTTTTCTGAAAGTTCTATATTTTGAAAAAGATCCTTATTTGTGGCAAATGTATTTATTTAAAGACAATCCGAGCGCAGTGAAACAGCTTCCTGACAAAGCATAAGAGAGAATGAGAGGAAAAAAAGAGACAAAGACTGACAATTTTTTTTTTTATTTAAAATTATTACCTTGATTTTACAAACTTTATTTTATTTTATTTTTTGGGGTGGAAAACGCATGATTATTAATTTGTGCCATAACAATTTAATTAAATGCAAAAAAAAAGAGATATGGTGGTGCCAGAGATGTCAACCACAGACAAACATTAATCTGTAATCTGTTTGGACGGCAAGATGTTTTTTTTTTTCGTGTTCGTTGGGGGGTATCTCCCTGTTGTCGACGGGTCGGAAGAGATGCCGGGCGGGTGTGGACCCGGTCACCACCCTTTGTGTATGGATGGATGGATGACTGGGTGGGATGGGGAGGGATTTAGGGCTGCGGGGCCGGGTTGTGCTTGGCGTGGCTCCGCTGCACCGCGTGTGATCTCCCTCCCTGTCCTCTTCTGGTCTGTCTTCTTGCTGTGCCTGGGGGGGTGGGTTGGTGGGGCCTGCCGCGGCTGCCCCGTGCTGTGGGGTGGTGGTGGTGGTTGTGGTGGTGGGGGTGGGGGGAGTTGTTACCTCCCACTACGGCAGGCAATTCCTAAAAGCTCTAAATTTCAAACTTTTTGAAATGCCAAATGAAAATCTAAGCATAATCTCTAGAACTAATTTAAGAAGCAAGTTATAAAAGGTTGAACTAGACAGCTTTCAGTTGGTTCAGTTAGTAGAGCATTGCACTAACAATGCAAAGGTCATGGATTCAAATCCCAGGGAAAGCAAGAAACTGACAAAAATGGGTTCATAAATTTTTGCCAAATGTAAAGGACGCCAGATGTCATCTTGGCTATAAACTACTAAATCAAACAAACCACATGTGTTAATGTGGTAAATGAGTAATCAAGCCATAAGTTTTTGGTGCAATGTCTACCTAGGTGTATAGAGGCACAATTCCAGCAACTATCACTTCAGTGTCACTTGCGTTTGCTCATTATGGCAGAAGGCTAATGGTTGATTTAAAAAACCCTTGTGCAAGCATGTTAGCACAGATGAAAAGAGTTTAGCTGGTTAGAGAAGCAATAAAACTGACCTTCCTTTCAGCAGATTGAGTATCTGGAGCAATACATTTGTGGGGAAAAAAATAGAACCTTCATGTGAAACTTGACTATTCTTGTTCGTAGAAATGAAGGCTATTTCATGAGAGAAAATTGTGTGTAATGCTCCCTTCTGACAACAGCACAAACAGGCTCTAATCGGAGTAGAAAGGGAAGTGGGACAACTGAGCAAGAAGATAAGTACATTACTAGCTTTAGAAATAGACACCTCACAGGTCCTCAACTTTCAGCTTCTTTGAATAGTACCTGCAACATCTACAGTGAAGAGGTGGTTCTGGGATGCTGGCCTTCAGGGCAGAGTTGGCAAAGAAAAAGCCATATGTGAGACTGAATAATAAAAGAAAATGATTATTATGGGCAAAAAGAATACAGACATTGAACAGAGGAAGATTGAAAAAAAAGTGTTATGGACAGACAAATCGAAGTTTAAGATGTTTGGATCAAACAGAAGAACATTTGTGAGAGGCGTAAAAACTGTAAAGATGCTGGAATGCTTCAAGATTCTGTCAAGCAAGTTGAGGGTAATGGGTTGGATCCTAGAGATGAAATCCCTTCTCTAATTTCATCAGAGAAGAAGCAGGCAGCTTGTCTTTTGTCTGTAATGGAGTGGCCAGTGCAATCACCAGATCTAAACCCTTTTGAGCTGTTGTGGAAGCCTCTTGATTTGTATGGTACACAAAAAGTGCCCATCAAGCCAATGCTGTAAGTGGAGGTATAGACAGGTCTGATACGTCTCATTGCCGGTCTGCTTTTTGGGCTGAAGCCACTGAATAATGCTCTCATGGGAGATGGTTTGCAAACGTTCTTGTCTCTCTCCAGGTGCAGTTTAGAGATGGATTCGAAGTCTCGGCGGTTTTCGTTTGCTGTCTCCAGTCCTTCCTCTCAGGCATCGGCCTCCTCACTCTCCTCCTCCGCATCGGCGCTTGGAGCCAGTCGGCTCTATGGAAGAGGGAGCGTCTTGGGAAGAGACCGCTTCTGCAGAGAGACTGCTGTCAAATTGGAATCTGACTATCAGGTATTGCTACACTGCCACTTAATAATTCCTGTAGTGTCCGTGTGCATATGGACTGCTCTCAATAAATGTGTAGCTTTGCACATTTAAATCCAAACTAAAAACACTTGTATTTAAATGTGCTTTCGCTGACCCGCTACCAATGTCCAATATTCTGTCCCTGTGATCAATGGATGACTGCGTAATTGCAAGGTTTTGATTAATAGCTGACCAGAAGTGTTTGATTAGCTTTTTTTCTGTATCACAAAGGTTTGTGTGTAAGCAACAGTGCTTTTATCTCTTTTATTTTTAAACTAAGCTTTTAATTGACGTTTTTATAATGAATTTGATAATTTTATCAGGACCTGTTGCTAGTACCATAAATCATCCCAATAGTGCTAACCAGCAAGCGACAATTCTGTTACATAGAAACAATTGTATGACTTTTCTATGTAAAACTTTTTGTTCTAAAATCCTTTTTATTTTTGTCAGCTTATGAAAACCCACATAACTCCATTAATGAAGGATCAAACTGTCCAAGTGAATAAAGAAAAATAGCATTTTTGTACTTTGTTTAGCGAAAAAAAAAGAAAAAAAACCCCTCACAGACTGAAGACGATGCATATCGATCATCATCTTTCATCATCAGGCTCACAAAAAAAAAGATCACAGATAAACTATTAGCTGTGCCCATTTCACATCTTGAAATTTATTTTAGCGTGAGAAATCGGAGGTGTGGCGTGAGAGATCGCTCAAATGCATGATTCTTACGTTCAATGTGTGAGAAACGGCAGCTCTGCAGTTTCACTCGTGAGTATGGACTACCGCATAAGGCATTGTGTGAAATTGTTTTTTTTTAGAAACTCAATACTTTTAAGCTCTCTCGGGCCACATTAGATTACCTTCAGTTTAGAGGGCCTTCAGTTTGACACATGTGGTCTATGGGAAAACGTTGAAATTTTGCAGGGGTTAAATCATTATTTCTGAATGCATGATACATTTTCAACACTTCTGTCAATGATCCTTAATCTGAAATATCCAGATTCAGGAGAGCCTAGTCTGGCCTTGTCTCTGTGTCTCAGCATCTCCTTTTCCACTGTGCAGTGGGGGCTGTGGAAAGGTCTTCACATTACATGGGCTTGGGTCACTGTGCTTTTTATATAGCACATTAGATTCCTGGCCCTGGTTTATCTCAACCTGTCAAGGGCTGTTCCTCCAGATAAAGTTACTTAAGCTCCCAGTGTTGTTTTTGATTCCCAGACTTGGAAACAAAAATTACTTGTAGCTCATCTCTAAATTGTCACAGGTTCTTTCTCTTTAGGATTATGATAAAATAAAAGGAAAGAAGCTTTGAATTGGGATCTTGGCTAATGCTGCTTTTTCTGTAATTTCTGAATTCTGAGTCAATGATACCAGCCACATGTTCTAAGCATTCACATGTTTGTGTGTTATTTTTTTTTTTCTCATGTTTTCTGTTTGTTCCAGAACTCCCGTCTGCTGAGCTCACCACGAGCTTACAGTCGTCACTCCAACTGGAAGCTCTCCACTCCTGTCTCCTCACCATTGCTGTCCTCCGAGAGATCATGGATGGAATCTAACAGCGCGGACAGAGTGAGACTTGTAAATATATTTTATGAACAATCAATTTTAACCAAAGTGTCCTATCTTTTGTTGCATTGTAAACAAGCATACTAGGTACTTTTTCTGTTGTTATCCATGCATGACTTTTAAAAGTGGTAATGTGGGCTGTTAGATTTTGGTATGTTTGGCTCAGCAATTTTTGGTGGCTCGCCATGGAATCAGATTAATCTAAAGGCCTCTACACACTGATTCAAATTGATATTCACATGAATATTGGCTTCTCAGCAGGGTGCTCTTCATCTGGGTTGAGGAAATATTGATGCAATGACACACCCTGCCTGAAGATGGCATTTGCGGTACAACTAATGCACTCCGCTCTACACAGGAAAACACGAAAGAAGATGATCATGGCCGAGAGGGAATCAAAGAACACATTGAAAAAATCCTGGATGTCAAGCAGTTTGTACTGTTGATGGCTGATAACAGTTAGCAGTTTGTGGCACACTATTCCTTCCCTGTTTCCTGTACAAAGTTGCTATGAGAATGTGGGATGAGCGCCACAGAGTGACTTTTTTTTTTTTAGATCCTACTCACATCATAAGTGACATTTCATTGGTCACTGTCCTTGAGAAAAATGGTAGGTTTTGATTCAGTAGAGTCTCCTGAACATTTTGAGACCACCTTTAGAAGTCTGTGACCATGATTTTCCAATCAGCAAGCCAGTAAACAAGAACTGGCCACTTGTTGAGAGTTAATGTCAATGTGGGTCCTATTGTTACTCACGTGTGTACAGCCAACCAATCACGTTTAAGCTCCACTCAGACTGACTGGTCATTTAGCCAATGAGATGAGCTTTCCAACGATATATGGTTTGCCACAGTTCTGTGTACAGATGCAGGATAACATCACTGGGTAAAGAGATGCTTCCAGTCATCCATCTTTATGCACACTGTTGAGCAGAGTGCACAGCAAAAACTTTTTTCTGGAGAAAAAAAAACCTTCTGTTACTGTTAATGACACTATGACATCTAAGAAGACATTTAATCGTTTTGAGGACATTTTAGAGGAGATTCATATTGTTTGAATGAGTGGCATGCACAAATCACATTGTTTTACATATTTTTTTGTATTTTTTTCATTGTTTGCATTTTCTTTAAAAATATTTTTTTATTGAGTAGTTTATTTAGTGGTATTGATTTGTATTAAAAAAAATTTGTTCATTTGGTTACCAAGTGCCAATTTGGTGCCAATGGTGCCCGCCTGGACATTGTCTTATAAACATCCCTCCAGAAAACACATGTTTACCGTAGCTCCATTTTTGGTCTACAGATTTTGGTCATGTATTGGTCCACAGTTGTGGCTTCTTTTCAAAAAGTGGGGACTCAAGCGTTCACTTTTTTCAAAATTTAGATGAGAATAATTTCTACTATTTCTACAAAGTTTGTGAATCTATAACTTTAGTTATGTTTGAGGAATCCAGTCCCTTACTTTTTCCTGATCAAATAGAAAGGGTTACCTTTTCAATGCCACCAAGGACATTAATTGAACCCATAAAATGTGAGAGTTACAGCCATTTAATTTTGGTTGTGCCTTTTTCTGACTTTGTCTTTTTCAAAAAGAGTGGTGGGTGTTACAGGTCTTTAAAGTCTTTAAAAATAATTGGTACTCAGTCTTTAAAAAATGGTATGGCTGCATTCCTAATATTTACCTTCACAAAAGGGGAGTTCTAGTTTAATAGAGAACACATAGTTTTGTGTAAAAAAATGTTTTCCTCTAGTTTTACTAATATATGACAACAATTTGTTTGGATTTCAGACCGACTCTGAGCGGAAAGTGGGATCCTACTCTGGACTGCTCAGCACTTCACAGGATAGCGAGTCTAAAAGAGCTAAGCTTTCCTACACAAACAGAGAGCCCTATTCCAGATCCACAGTGAAGCCTGCCAGCACCTACTCCTCTTTAGGAAGTGTGTCTAGAGGTGATGATGCTTTGTTTGCAGGATGCAAGTATTTGAATCGTTTACGATGTTGTTTAATAATGAGCTTCCATTGCCTTTAGATTCTCTATGGAAAAGCAGCGCTAGTCATTTGTCAAG